ATGGTTCGTGGGTCGTGGAGTCATGGGTCAAGGCTAGAAAATGGTTTTTTTGTTAAGTCTTGGGGGTTAAGTCTAGGGGTGTTTTGGGGTTTTAATTAACATTAAATGTCATCATTTTAAACTAAATTAGACTAACTATATAATATTTTTAAGTCCCTAAACTAAGTCATCCAAATCATAATTTCCAAATTCACAAATCAAAAACCAACTTCTCCCAAAGCTCTCTCTCTAGAACTCCAAGGAAGAAGAAGAAAAAGATCAAGCTAGGGTTTGATGAAGGAGGATTTTTCACTCAATTTCTTTGGAGAATCATAACTAAGGTATGGTAGTCCTTCATCCATGGATTCCCTCCAAACCCCAATTTCAAAGCTAGAAATCCCAAAAGTTAGGGTTTTATTTCAATCTCATGGATTCCTTTCAAATTCGTTTTTAATGATTGAATTATATTTTATTATGGATAAATTGATGATTTTATATGATTTTAGGTTGAATTCCCCAAGAATCCCTGAATTCCCCTAATTTCCCAAATTGGATCTCAAAGTGTGGGTATTGATTGATGCAAGTAAAATATTATAGAATTGAGAATGTAGTAATTGAACTACTTGAATTATGATATAGTCCATGTCTAATGTAGTAATTCTAGATGTGTTGATGGAATATGATCTAAGGTCCTTTAAGGGCAAAGTATGAGAATTATGCATGATTATGAGGTATATGTATATGCTTTATGAACACTTTGAGAGTAAAGTGAATATGATTATGATCTAGTTGTTGTGTTGTTGGATTGTTATCCTCATGCACATATTTATGTATGAATATGATATGATGTGAAAGGTTTGTCACATGTAGTGATTCTAAGGGTGGAATACAAGTCTCACCTATTGAATCTATGAGCTTTAGTAGGAGTTATGTTGGATTGAGTGTCAAGACATTCTTCCATTATTATGAACTTAAGTCAAGACTTAATATGAACTCCATGGGAATCAATTCTTAGCACCGATAGGGTATTGATATGAGATGGAAGCCCTCAAATTAGTAGATGTCAAGTTTCTAGGAGCAAACTCTTGGGATGGAAGCCCTCACGATAGTAGATGCCAGGTTTTTCTAGTAGCAATCCCCTTATCCTATAAACTATTTGCCCACATAGGTCTTTAGCTAGTGGATCCACCTAAGCTAAGAGTATGGTTCTACCTTATGCAAGTTGGACAACCCCTTTTCAGTGTGGGGTAGACACTAGCTCACATGGTCTATGTCGGTTAAGTCTTATCCCATTACGATAGTATGAACAAGAACATGAGATATGAACTATAGTTACTCAAGAAGCTTTACTTAGTATGGGTGGGATTATGGGATCTTATTCTTGCATTGCACAAGTATGCTTTGAGGGTATTTATGGTATGTTTCCATTATGTTATGATGATCTATATGTTGAATATGCTTATGACTTATGCTTTTACATTAATCTTTATGATGATCCTTAAACTTGGTAAAGTGCATGCTTCTCAACTAAAATGTCCCTTTTAGCATGTTTTCAAGGTTTTATGCATGGCTATCATACTTAGTGCATTTTTGTACTAACCCATATTTTCCTACATTTTCCCAAGTGTAGGGTCAGGTTCTTGAGGCGGTTATCATTTGATTCGAGCTTGGATTTGACTATTCTCCTTGCTTGTGGTGAGTCCTCACGATTCGAGGATGGGAGATTCACTTTGAGTTTCATCCTTGTATTTTCACTTTTGGATTATGTTGTTTTGGGTTGTGACCCTATTTTTGAATCAATTATTGTAATAAATGGCTAATTGAGAAAAGTCTAGACTTTCGCTTTTATTTTATGAAACTTTTGGGCTTAAATGTGTTTTTACTCTTATTGTTGTAATGATTTAAGTTATGATATGCTAAGTGGCTTACATGGTGCCTTTAGGGGTGCTATGTGCCTTGTTACATCTAGGGGGTACCCTTGGGTCGTGACAAACTTGGTAATTAGAGCACAAGGTTTAGAATGATTCTACGATGATGTCTCATAAGCCATGTCTAGTAGAGTCTTGTTCATGAGTGTGAAGCGCGCCACATTTATGAATGAGAGGCTATAAGACTTTAGGAAATTTCACTTCTTCAATAAATCTTAAGTCGTGCCTTAGAGTTTAACTTTATAAAACTCCTTCTCCTAATCCTTCTTTTGTGTCTTCAGGCTATTAATACACGAAGGGCTGACACTGGAAGAATGGAGGGTGGCAATGTTAATGAGGAAGCTTTTCAAGGTAATAAAGCTCCTCAACTTAACCAAGCTTCGGTTGATCCCGTCGTGTAAAATATGACCCATGCAAAGTTTTGGTCTACTATCCAAATGTTGGCTCAAGTCGTGATGGCTCAAGCCAATAAAGAAGTGGTAGCTCCGGTCAATCCTACTATGAATTCCGTGACTTCTAGATTGAGCAATTTTACCAGAATGAACCCTCTCGTGTTTCTTGGTTCCCTCAAGAATTTTTGGAAGAGGTTTATAAAATAATTGATGCCATGGGGGTTATTTCGGTAGAGAAAGTTGATTTAGCCGCTTACAAATTGAAGAGTGTTTCTCATGTATGGTATACTCGATAGAAGAACAATAGGACGGTAGGAGTGGGTCCAATAGAGTGAGAAGTGTTCAAATCGGCGTTCCTTGATAGGTTCTTTCCCCGAGAGTTGAGGGAGGCTAGGGTGGAGTAATTCATTAACCTTCATCAATGAGGTATGAGTGTTCAAGAATATTTCGTAAAGTTTACTCAATTGTCCAAGTATGCTCCGGCTATGGTGGCGGATTCAAGGAATATGTTGAGTAGGTATTTGATGGGTGTGTCCAAAGTGTAAAGAAAAGAATGTCGTACGACAATGCTTCTTCATGATATGGATATCTCATGTCTTATGGTGTATGCTGATGAGTCCGAGATTTGGACTCATTTAGGGCTTATTTACAATTATTTAGTGTCCTTAAATGCTTATTTTTTGCAAATAACTGATGTAAAATCCTTGATTTCTAGGCATATGTATTGAGGAACAAAGCTAGGACAATAAAGACAACATGAACGAAAAAGAGAAGGGAAAAACAAGCCTGATGATCGCCGATGTCACTTGGCGAGTCGCCAAGTTGTCCCTCTACCACCTAAAAATATAGAATGCGGAGGCTGGATTAGGAATCATTTCGGTTATCAGCAGTTCCATTTGGCGTGGCACCGATTGCATCGGCGATGGATGACCATGTCGCCGAAAGCACCAATGGAGACCCAAAAAATCACAGATGGGTGAGACAAAAGATAGAAGGGCGCTTCGTGGAATGAAATGGCGATCCAGAGTTTTCTCGCATAAAATTATAGTAGTCGGGTGAAGAAAATGTGAAGCAGGAAGGCGAGACGAAAGGACAATCGACGAGTCGCTGAATGGTCGGTGAAGCCCGACTTTTCACATCGACTGGACCCAAAAAGTCACACCAGATTTTGTATAAATTGATTTTTGCATGAGAGAGAAAGCATTCAGAAATCGTGAGGAACAAACAATAGAGAGCAAAATATTGTTATTTTTGATTTGAGGTGATTTCTAGCAAGATTCTCTATTTGGGTTATGTAATAGAGGTCATATTATAAAATTTTAGCTTCCAAACTTCATTTTACCTAGCTATAAAAAACATGTCAAGTATTGAATTTCATTTTTTTTTATCATGGTTGGCTAAAACCCTAACCTTGGGGGTTCGACAAATGTGACTAATTGTTGCATTTGACTAAGTGGGTGTCATCAATTAGCGAATTGTGGTGTTAATTTGAAGTGGGTTTGAATTATCATCGTGGTTTAAATTCATTATTGCATGCTTATTGCAATATAGTTTAGAGCTTCATGCTTGCTCGAGAGAGAAGCATGTAACTAATGTGATAATTGGGCATCCTTAGTAGTGGGTCATTGTGGTTTCATCTTGAGAAAGTGAAGATCAATATTCAACCTTTGTGTCTAGCTCGAAAGAGTAGACTTGATGAGAAGGTGGGCTGGGCATCTTATAGTTAGTGATGAAGTTCGAGAGAATTCATCATAAATAAGGTAAATATTCGAGAGAAAATTGCTTTACTTATAACCTACTTTACCCACAACAACTTGACATTGTTGGTAATGATGTTCACCCACTAAGTTGAATTCAATAGTTGGTTAGTCAACCCCCCAAGTGTTTCCTCGTTATTTGATTGTTACGTTTTGATTGCTGAAGTGGGTTAGTAACTACAACCTAGAATTTGAATTCTAAAATCTTTTAAGTGTGGCGCTTGTTCAGCTGAGAAGATCATTGTCATACTTTCATATTTGAATTCACAAGAAAGCTACTCTTTGTGGGATCGACCCCAACTCATATAGTTGGGTTTATACTGATTTATGACCGTTGACGATTAAAATTGGATGAAGTGTCTTTGAGCGTTAATCAAAATGGCGCCGCTGTCGGGGAGTAGCGTTGTTTAGAGTTTTTTTTATCAATTTTTGACTTGTGAATCTGTCGGCTATAGTTGAATTGATTTAGGTGGCTTTGTGCTAGTGTTGAGTGCGGTGACTAGAAGTAAGAATGAGTGAAGCAGAGGTGGATGGTAGCCAAGCAGGTCATCGGGACGGTATCAATGATATCAATAGTGTTTACACCCCAACTCAACTAGGTGAAATGGGTGCAATTTTCCTACCACTAACTAATGGTAATGCAATATTTGAGGTCACTAGCACGACTCTTCTTCTCCCCCAAATGAGGGAACTCTATGGAGGGCTAGACCATGAAGATCCACATGAGCATGTAAGAAATTTTATAGAGGTGTGCAGCCCATTTTCATTCAAGAATGTGTCACAAGAGTCAATCCGACTCAGGTTATTTTCACTATCTCTGGCAGGGAGGGTAGAAAGTGGTTCGCTGAGCTACCAAGAAATTCCATCACATTATAGGATGAGCTAATTGTGGAATTCAATACAAGATTCTTTCCCCCCCCCCCCCCCCCCAATCAAGGATGATGAAACTCAGAGATAACATTCAAGATTTTAAGTGATTAGAGGGTGAACCCATCCACGAAACATAGGTGAGGTTCAAGAAACTCTTACTTCAATGCCCAACTAATGGTCTACCAAACGATTTGCTACTCCAATTTTTTTTACCGGAGTCTTGATTCGGTTAATAAAGGAGTGGCTGACCAATTAGTTCAAAGGGGAATACTGTTGCAATTATTTGAGGTGGCTTCGTTTCATCTTGATGATATGACTAATATAAATCAAGCGTGGTATACTCAAGAAGATCAAGTTTCACCTTTGTGTTTTAGAATGACTCAAGAGCAACTTGATAAGCAAAGAGAAAGGGATGAGAATATCAAGAAGATGCTGGCCCAAATGGAATTTCTACAAGAACATGTGTTAGAAAATGTGAGGAAGCAAATGGGGGAAAATGGAGTGTTTAGAGTTGAGGAGGGTTTTTCCTCAGGTTATTCAAAATCGGGGGAGAATCATGGTCGAAATTCCAAGAGATATGAGAAGGGTTTCCATCCATGCTATTTTCAGCGAGGTGAGAATCAAGGTTGGAACTTTTACAAAGAGGAAGAGCAAAGAAGATACCATCAAGCATGGGCTGAGCAAAGTGACTATTGGAGAAGAGATGATGATTATGAATAAAACCACACTCAATCAAGTGAAAGTCCGAAGTCGAGAGGGAGTGCAAGCAGTCCCCGGGTGAATGACTTGTTATCTCGCATCCTTGACAAAGTTGAAGGTTCGGATGACTTGCTAAAAGGAATGAAGGCAGATTTTTCATCATTAAATACTAGAGTGAACTCTCATGCCGATGCAATCAAACTACTGGAAGGGCATTTGAGTTTACTTTCCGCGCAATTGGAGCCAAGTAAGATGCAAGAAAATGATGATAGAGGTTTGGCTGTGGTTACTCGTAGCGGGAAAGTAGCGATAGGCAAGGTGATGGGCAATGATAAAGAAGAGAAAGGTATGGAGGAGGAAGAAATGCCCATCCATCAAAACATTGCCAACGAAACACAAAATAATGTATAGAAACATAATCCAATTCCAAGAGTTGTGCAACCTTTACCCAAGATATCTCTTCCATTTCCCCAACTCCTTTAAAAGAAGAATGAGGATGAGAAGTTCAAGAAGTTTTTATCGGTGTTCAAGACATTATCAACTAATCTCTCTCTAGTGGAAGCATTGTTGGAGATGCCGGGTTATGCTAAGTTCATGAAATAGTAAGTTACCATGAAAAGAACCTTGGACTTTGAAACAATTTAAGTTTCTCATAGTTGTAGTACAATTATGTTTAATGAGAAAATAAAACAGAAGGAAGATCCCAGAGCCTTTACTATCCCTTGCACCATCGGTATGCTTAAATTCGCCAAGGCTCTATGTGATTTGGGAGCAAGTATAAACCTGATGTGCAATCTATAAGCAACTTGGATTGGGTGAAACAAAGTCCACAACAATGAGGCTTTTGATGGCTGATAGATCTATCAAACATCTTGTGGGGATACTATATGACATATTGGTAAAGGTTGACTGATTCATTTTCACGGCTGATTTTGTCATTCTTGATTGTGAAATAAATGATTAAATTCCCATTATTTTGGTAAGACCATTCTTGGCAACCGAGAGAGAATTGGTGGATGTTGAAAGCGGAGAACTGAATTTCTGGGTCAACGAGGATAAAGTAAACATTAATGTTTGTAAGCCAATAAAACACCCAAGCGATATTCATGTGGTTTCTACTGTTGATGTTATTGATGAGGCGGTGGCTAGTGTGAGTCATTTGAGGTGTATGAGTGAACCACTTGAGGTTGTGCTTGCTAACTATGATGAATTCGAAGTGCAAGGCTACAATGAGGTAGTAGTTGCTCTTTCAGGCATGGGGGAATATTCAAAGACCCTATTGAAGTTGGACATCGATCTGAAAAATTGAGAAAGTCCTCTCGCAAAGCGATCAACCGAAGAACCACCGAATCTGGAGTTGAAAGTACTTCCCTCCCATCTCCTTTCTTGGGGACAAATAACACCTTACCGGTGATCATAGCAGCTGGCTTGTTTTTATGGCAGGTAAAATTGCTCCTTGAGGTGTTGAAACGACATATAAAAGCTATAGGTTGGACTATTGCTGACATAGTGGGCATTCCTCCCGGCATTTGCACTCACAAGATTTAGCTTGATAGTGATTGTAAACTGAGTGTTAAACATCAGTGGATATTGAATCCACCAATGCAAGAGGTGGTGAAAAAGGAGATAATAAAGTGGTTGGACGCAGGTGTTATCTACGATATTGCAGATAGCAAATGGGTAAGTCCAGTGCAATGTGTACCGAAAAAGGGGGGCATCACAGTAGTCCCAAATTAAAAGGGGGATCTTGTATCTATGAGACCGGTGACTGGATGGCGAGTTTGCATGGATTACTGGAAGCTAAACTCTTGGACAGAAAAAGATCACTTCCCTATGCCTTTCATGGATCAAATGCTTGATTGAGTTTCAAAGAGAGGTTGGTATTGCTTTTTGGATGACTACTCTGGTTATAACCAAATCTTCATTGCTCCGGAAGACCAAGAGAAAACCACACTCACCTGCCTATATGGAACTTTTGCCTTCAAACGGATGCCGTTTGGGTTATGTAATACTCCAGCAACATTTCAACGTTGCATGCTGTTCATTTTTGCTGATATGGTGGAGGATTCAATGGAAGTCTTTATGGATGACTTCTCAGCTGTGGATGATACTTTCTAAGCATGTTTGGCACACTTGGGACAAGTTCTCCAAAGATGTGTGGAGACAAATTTGTCCTAAATTGGGAAAAATGTCACTTCATGGTTAGGGAAGGCATCGTTCTTAGATACAAAGTATGGCAAAAAAGGCTGGAAGTTGATAAAGCGAAGACTGAAGTGATTGAGAAGCTACCACCACCAATTTTGGTAAAGGGTATTCGTAGTTTCTTGGGGCATGCTGGTTTTTATTGGAGGTTCATCAAAGGCTTCTCAAAAATTGGACATCCTCTATGCAAATTCTTGGAGAAGGAGGTGAAATTCCACTTTGATGATGCGTGCATGATAACCTTAAAGTGCTTGAAAGAAAAATTTGTCTCCACCCCGGTTATCATTAGTCTCGATTGGTCAGAACCTTTCGAAGTGATGTGTGATGCAAGCGACATGTCATTAGGTGTCGTATTAGGGGTAAAAACACCATAAACTATTTCACCCCATCTATTATGCAAGCAAGACTCTAAATAATGCTCAACGTAACTACACAATTACAGAACAAGAATTACTTGCGGTAGTATATGCGTTTGAGAAGTTCCGGGCATACTTGCTAGGCAATAAAGTGGTTGTTCACACTGATCATAGTGCACTGCGTTATCTGATGGCAAAGAAAGATGCCAAGCCAAGATTGATAAGGTGGGTGCTACTATTGCAAGAATTCGACTTTGAAGTCAATGATAGGAGAGGTTGTGAAAATCAGGTGGCTGACCACATATCAAGATTAGAAGTCAAGGAAAATGACGAGTTGGAGATTGACATAAATGATGCCTTTCCTCATGAACATGTATTCTTGGTGACTCTCAAACAACCTTCTTGGTATGCTGATTTTGCCAATTACATAGTGTGTGGATTAATGTCAGAAGAGCTGAACTTCTACCAACAAAAGAGGCTCTTGTTCGATGTTAAGAAGTAATTTTGGGATGAACCATATTTATTTAGAGAGTGTGCAGACCATATAATTAGGAGATGTATTTCGGAGGAGGAAGCCATCAAAATTCTCGATGCTTGTCACACTTCACCGGTTGGAGGTCATCATGGTGGCATGCGCACAACTACTAAAGTCCTTCAAAGTGGTTACTACTGGCCCTCACTCTAAAAAGATGCTCATGAGTTTGTTAAAAAGTGCACTCAATGTCAGAAGCAAGGTGGGGTGTTTAAAAGACACGAATTACCTCTCATGCCAATTTTAGAAGTTGAGCTATTTGATGTTTGGGGGATAGATTTCATGGGCCCATTCGTGAGTTAATTTGGTAATAAATACATTTTAGTGGCAGTAGATTATGTTTCTAAATGGGTGGAGGCTGTTGCACTACCGAACAATGAAGGGAGAAGTGTTGTTCAATTCCTAAAACACTACATCTTTGCTAGATTTGGTATTCCTCAGTCTATAATTAGTGATGGGGGATCCCACTTTTGCAACAAGTGGTTTTCAGTCGCATTGAGTAAGTATGGAGTTAAACACAAGGTAGCAACTCCGTATCATCCCCAACAAGCGACCAACTTGAAATGTCAAACCAAGAGATCAAAAGCATCTGGGGCAAGAAGTGAATGCAAACATGACTGATTGGTCTCGAAAGCTTGATGACGCGCTATGGGCGTACCACACCACATACAAAACACCAATCGGTATGTCACCATATCAGCTATTCTTCGATAAATCTTGCCATCTACCAGATGAATTAGAACACAAAGCATCATGGGCTTTGAAAGCTCTAAATCTGGACTGGGCAAAAACTTCAAAAGAGAGAGTAGAGTAGTTAAATGAGTTGGATGAATTCAGATTCAAGGCTTACGAAAGGTTAGCCCTTTACAAGGAAAATATGAAGAAATGACATGATTCTAAAATCCTTAAAAAGGAGTTCATAGTGGGAGACTGGGTGTTACTATATAACTCTCGACTTAGACTCTTTCTCGGAAAGCTCAAGTCCAAATGGGCAGGCCCGTTTAGAGTGACACGAGTGTTCACAAATGGTACCATTGAAGTTTAAGGTCAAGAAGGACCTGCATTCAAACTGAATGGGCAACACTTGAAGTTATACTTTGGCGAGTGCCAAGAGATTTCTCTGATTGAGGTGATGTACCTAGAAGATGCTTGAGAGCATTTCCACGTCGTGCCATGGCGTTAAATAAGGTGCTTCTTAGGAGGCAACCCAAGTGTTAGTATTTTAAATAATGTGTGTTGATTTTGTAGGTGCAAGATATTGTGTGACAAGAAGATGCTATTGGCAGATCATCGAATCCATTCGGCGAGCCCGACACAGTCCACCTTATGGACTTCAAAATGGAGCTAAGATACTAGAACATTTGGTGGGAGACCTTCATTACTCGGTGAATT